TGTTTAGAGGTATTTGAAAATCATATAACTTAATACATGTATTGTCATCTATTTTTGTATGAGATTCAAAGCAAATATTTGAAAAAAGTCTAATTATAATGTTTACTTGTTTACATAAAAAGCAAGCTTTAAGGCAAGCAGGGAGTCGATCGTCATTCACTGAAAAAATTTAATTATTCATTAGTCTATAAAAATGTTAACCAACATTTTATTTACATTTACACTCATCTATGTAAAAATAGTTTTCTAAGAAGCAAATTTTGTACATAAAGTTACTCAGGTACTGCTTACAACCTTCAGGCTGTAGCGAATAACAACAGAGTTTCTGTTTTTTTCTTAAAGTAAAATCAACAACCAACCAACCGGCAATAAATAGTCTATTTCATTGTTTCCCCAAGACTGGGTTGCGACTCTGATGGATCACAAGAGATTTTTTTTGGGTAGCCTGATATGCATGTTGCACTCTCCTCCTGCACCCCGGACTGGAAATCGCTACAAAAATGCAGACAGGCCCACCTATCTCAGTAGAAATGTTGAAAGGTGGACATGTTTTGTACAATTTCTAATCTTTTTGTACTTATTTTATTGACTATTTTGTTCCAACATTGCTGGTTCAATTGAATGTTGAAAAGAAAAAGAAATGAGCTACATTTAATGTCCAAATAGATGACTTATTGATACTTTTATTGCTGGTTTAATTACTGTTTTTCATAGTTTAAAACTTGAGTAATACAGAGTTCAGATAGACACGATTACTCAGTCAACAATAAAATATCCTCATTAATGTTCAATAATGGTCAAATCCACCTTTATTTTGTTCTTTATGAATAATGTCTATTGCCTTGGGTCGCGAAGGCTTGTGACTTTTAAAATATGAGTCCCCAGAGAAAAAGTTTGGGAAACACTGCACTATTTTGCATAGATTACGTCCACAAATTCATCAGTGAACAAGAAACCAGAGGAGGAGCAACAGCCTCTGTCAGCCATTACAGGGACATAAAGTGGTCAAAGATTTATGATAATACTAAAAGGAGCAGTTGTTCCTAGAGTGAATTATTACAGGAGGCAGAGGATTTTAATACACCCACAAATAATATGCAGTGAGTTAAAGGTTCACTATGCAACTTATGTGGGTAGAGGGTTAAATGTATATATCATTATGGAGACCCGCCCCAACCTCAGTAAGAATAAAACATTCTTACATTCAAGGCGTAACGGAAATGAAATAAATGCAATGAAATAAATAAATAAGTTTAAAATGCCACAAATATTAAATACTTTACATAAAAAAATGTAGGACTTAAATGCTCTATCAAGAAACAATGAAACAACTATGATTTCTGGTGAAATAACTGAACAATACTGTAAAAAATGGCTCCTACAAGTTGAGTTGGTCATGCAATCCACATTTTAACCACTAGAGGGCACCACCAAACTTGAATTAGACAGGGCCTGAGTGAGGATAGAAACACAAATGAAACATGAGAGAATGTATCAAATGTTGTATCTTTTCTGAAATAAATCATGATGTACTGTATAAAATGATTTACCTATAGGCCAGAGGCTCAAACACAGTTATTTGTCAGGTCATCATTTTTGAGGCTGTAGAGGAACTACTGAAAGTACAAAAGGTACAAAAGTTCTAATTATGTCCTGAGCCCCTGACAAAGGTGAAACGACGGGAGCAAAAAACTTTAGTCTGGGAAGAAATGAAAACTGACTGGAATTTCATATTAAAAATTCTTATAATAAGACCAATACTGATGCACTAGTCATAAAGCTTCATAGCTTCGTACAGACTCCAAGCCACTTTACATTTGGGTGTATTATTAATTTTATCTCCATAGGCTAATCATTCAGTGGCAGTATGTTAATTTTGTTGCCATAGTTACCCAAGGGCAAAACGACACAAGTGTGGCCCCCAATCTCCACCAACAGCCCCTCCGACTACCACCAATCACACTGTCACAGCACTCAAAAGCATGGCAGGTGAAGTGTCTTGCTCAAGGCCAGAATGACATGACATTGAATAGTCACAAGAGCTGGGATCCAACCATGAAACTATTTAGATAAAATATACTCTTATATCTTCAATATAGTTATTTTCTGTATTTTTCTGATATACTGAAATGTTGGGACAATATCAGAAAGCAAAAATCAGTCTTCAGATTCACGCTTCCCACTAAAGACAAAAATGTGTTTTGTAAATTAACAAGCCAGAAACACCTCAACAGGAATAAATGCTATTACAAAAATTTAAGTCTAAAAGAAGCCATGAGACAGACTACAGATTCAGCTGCTGCTAGTGTGATGAAGCTATGTTTTCATTGGTCGAAAGGACACAGGAAGAGGACCCAAGGATAGCCTTACATCTAATCAATGATGAAACAAGGAACAAAATGTCAAACTCAGGACACACAAACTGAAATCATACAAAAATGAGATAATTTGAAGATTGCACATATTTCAAGGGGCTCGACAAAGTAAAATTTACAAACTATCAAGGAATCTCAACAGATTTTATTTACAAAGATAATTTTTGTTGCAATAAGTATCCATTTGTCTAAACATTGAAAAGGTACCTATATATGTTCCAGTGATGAAGCCAATAACGCAGCGCAGCATTTTCGCACATTGAGTCCTGCAGGCATTCATCCTTCACTTAAATTCCACCAGTGAAAAGAAAAAAATCACCAAGTATTCATTGAGAAAAAGTATCATCCAAAAAGTTGGCCGCAACAACACTGAAACTGGTCAAACTTCTGTAGTGTCCTTAGCGCTGCCTTTGACTCTCATCTTCGTGTCCCAGTTTGTAACAGGTGATGTCAGTCCCTCCCCTCTGTCTGTGTCCCTGCTCCAACCTTGTAGCCTAAAGGTGGTTTAGCTGAGTGGCATGACGCTGGGCTATCTTAAAGCTCGAATAGTTTCATATGACCGGACCAGACAGACGGGATGTACACCTCCACTCAAGCTGCTATCCTCAAAGCACACTTTCTCCTGCTGTCAGAAACAGCCTACCTATGTACTGTGCATTCTACTTCTACTGTGAATATAATCTGGCCCATATTACATTACCTTACATTTTTCATTTTGTATTTTGCTCTGGGCCTTGACAAACTCCTCTGTCATGGCCATAATTCAATCATATTCCAGTTAGGCTAAGAAATATTTGTTATCTGAAATTTTAATATAGTTTTTAATATACAAATATTACAATTAGACAAAAAGTAGTCCATATCTCTTATTAAGCTTTGACAAAATCCAGGTGAGTGACTCAAAGAATGGATTTCAGTCAATCACAAGCCAGTAACTTTTAACTTCTTTTAACTACTTTTCAGGCAGGGGACGCAGAAATAATTTTTTGAGGAATGGGTTGGTCGTACAATGTGTTACAGAAAATAAAGATATAACAATTAAAAGAGATTCAAGCTAAATCTATAAGAAGAATATGACTGACAAAGACTTAGTTGAACTGTCTGAATGGTCCAATAGTGATTCATGTTCCTCAGTCTATCAAGCTGTTGGTGATACAGCCTTTGCTTCGACCTCTAGTTTAACCACAGCGACCACTCTGCCATGCTGCCCCCTCTCTCTGATCTCCATCTCTGCTGCTATTCTGAGCCGTTGGCCTCCATCAAGGGCATGCCCACCAATATGCTCAATCTGTGCTCCCTCGACATGGTGCGCACGCAGAAGATCTCGTGTCAGACTGCAGTTTCTATACTCATTTACATACTTGTACTTTTATATTTAAAGTCTATAAACTCTTCTATATTAAAATACTTTTATCTGTCACTGTCACTTGGGGACACTGGTGGCCTTGGAGCTGATGGAAGAACAGGAGACAGTGTGCTAAGCCGCAGGGTGTTAAGTGGATGTTCTTTGACTCACATTTCAATGACCAGGTATCATTACACGGTACATGACGTTGAGTCCATGCCAGAGATACCCGTATCGCCAAGCTGTCCCATGTGAATGTACCAGTCTGAACATATACTGAGAGAGATTTTATTATTATGGAAAATTAATTTCAGTTAATCTGATGAGCATCCTAGTGTCTAATATTTGCTCTAATGTATGTTAAGGTATACTTAATTGAGCCCTGTGGGGAAATTCGTCCTCTACATTTGCCCCTTCCTTCAATGCCACTGGGCCAACTAAGAGGAGTGAGCAGCTGCTGTACAGTAACCGGGACCCGTCTCTAGATGTTAAGATAGGCTTGGTCAGGATTACCTTGTCTAGAAAATTTTGCTTATGGAGAATGGAATGTTTGTGGTTAATGGGAGAAACCAGAGTGCCCAAATTATATCCACCCAAACAAAGACCCCTCATCACGCAACCCACCAAAGAGACCTACTTGCTGTGAGATACACATGCTAGATACTCAGCCACCATGTTACCTAATCAAAGAGCAATAAGCAATTTATATATAAAAAATGTTGACTGACCACAACTGTTAGAACATTGTCTTATAAAATGTAGATTTCTTAGAAATCCCTTCAGATTTAAAAATAGATTGAAAATGTATTACTACAACCACACCACCAGATGGAGCTATACGACTTAAGTGTTCATGGAACAGTGGGTCATGAGGGTTGTATGCAGTTCAAACCAGGCTAATATTATGTTCTCCAATTCACTATTAAACATAATAAATACAAAATACAATTGAGTGAAACAAATACCTTGGAAAACTGCTTCAATACTTATAACATAATTACATAATTACATGTTCATAGAGAGAACATTTTCAACAACAGACAATCATGCTTACCAAATTAAATAAATTAAAATAACAGTTTGACCCTGCCCTGGCCCTGCCCTGCAGTTATAGCTGGTAAAGACTGAAGGATGCGTAGATTGTAAGTAGATTGATAGGCTGAGTCTCTTTGGTGTTTGACCTGGGGTCATGGCTTCAGAACAGTGCAGCGGTTGTGTCCATTGTGAGGACAGAGCCTGGATCAATGTAAATGCTGTTAGCTTCTCATGTTAAACCTCACCTTTGTCCTGCGGCTGTGTGCTGGCGATGATCCACTTCACTAAACAGCATTTCATCAGAGCTTTACGAGAAAACCGCGGCTTCTGCCATTTCCCAGAAGCCTTCACTCTGCCCGGAGCAGGTTCAACGCCGTTGGCATCTCCCAGCAGGCTGCCATCCACCACCTTGCCATCCACCTGGACAGACAATCACAACAACTGAAGAGATGCGAGAAATAATGCATGTATTGTTTTAGAGTTGGTGACACAGGATTAAGAGGGTCAAGAAAAGTTCACTGCACCTAGGAGCATTGTAAATCTATTTCTTATGAACATTAACAGTTGAATCTTGTTACATCAGATTTATTTTTCATTGTAATATGGCAGCAGAGTATATTTGAAGTTTTGAGAGACAAGTGTTCAAGCAAGAAGCAAATATATTTACTCAATTTATATTAGATTTACACTGGCAATTTTTACTGACAATTAAAATGGGGTTTGTTTGTTTTGTCACAACATTTGCAAGCCTCATTCATATTTTCCATCACAGCTGATCAGAGTGTGACTTGGCATCGTCGCTTTTCAGTTTTCTTCTACAACTGTGAGTAGATGTAACATGTTTTTTGGAGAGAGAATGTCTGGCTGAATTCCAATGATGGGAAGAATACTTTGAAAATGTTTTTAGTTACAGAATGCTGAATACCTGCATTAGCATGTATTTTGTAAAGATACATGGTCTAGTCAGATTACTGTATTCTGAATACTTGGAATACTTTCATGCAGGCACAATATAGAATGAAAAACATATATATATATATATATATATATACATATATATATATATATATATAGTTTCACCATTTGTTCTGGCATTTGTTTATCACTAGAGAAAAAAATCACACTTGCATGCACCACAAGAGCAGCGTTTTATATTTTATATCTATATCTATATATCTGTATCTATATATCTGTATCTATATATCTATATCTATCTATTTATCTATCTATCTATCTATATATATATCTATATATCTATATCTATATCTATATCTATATCTATATATATATATATATATATATATATATATATCTATATCTATATCTATATCTATATCTATATCTATATATATATATATATATATATATATATATATATATATATATATATATATATATATATATATAATTTTTTTGTGTGTGTGTGTGTGTGTGTGATAAAGTACGGCCATGTACGGTATGTATTTCTTTGATTTTAGAAAAGTGACCCCCCCCCATATTTAGAATATGTTTATATGTAATACATAAGTCGCACCGGAGTATAAGTCACCAGAGACACTCAAACCATGAAAAGAATTGCAACTTCTAGTCTAAACAATACAGTAAACAACAGAATAGGCTCTATTCAAGCTTACGTCATAAAACAGGAAGACACATTGGAAAAATGTGATGACAAGTGCAAGCCCACTCAGAATGTAATATGGACACATGTTTTTCAATGCAATAAACACAACCAAAATGAAAAACATACTTTGTATTTTTGTACTTGGTACATGTATTCAGCTCAGTGAAGACCTCCCAGTCGGCCGCAGCAGTAAACACATGCATATACATGTTTGGAGCTATGGGAGGGCAGATGAAAGAGGGGCAAGGAACAAACAGCAGCTCTGTCTAATCTGCAGGAGAGGAGCAGAGCACGACCGCCGAGCGCCAAATTGAAGGGGAGGATTTAAACGGCTATTTGATCCCAGGGGAGCTGGACCAGGCAAATCCTCCAGTTTAAGGTGATGAGAGGAGGAGAGAAGGGAAATGCCTATGCACAGAAGAAATGGAAGTCAATTAGCATAATGAAAAACTGAGTCTATGTGAGGGGTAGAAGTAAAGGACGAACAGAGGACACGTGGACATACAAGAGGATTTGGTGGTCCATCAGAGAGGAGCTCAGGAAAGAAGCTTCAAGAATTGATGGGTGGTGCAACATCTCAGGAAACCCTAACCCTAAAATATATTGAGCATATCTCAATTAAGGGCAAATGGATAAGCACCAAGAAAATACATGTTGACATGGCACCAATACTGAAACTACTTTTGCATTTAGGGTTAGGTCAACCAGTTTATATTATAGTTGGCTGTAGTTAGGTCAGAAGGTCTCCATAGCCTCTATGGCAACGTTGTTGGTTTGCCTAGAGTGTTCCACATTATACATTTCTACATCTATCTTGCGTTAAATACAGGTGTTGTTAAGCTCAAAAATACCTCTCCACAGATCTGAGGAGGTGGCATATCCTGCACCAAAGAAGCTATATATGCACCTTTGAACACATTAACTAACTACTGCCCAGCGGCACTCACAGTTAGTATTTAATGGTATTGGATGATGGGTGGATCAGTCTGTCTTTAAAAACAATTACGGTATATGATCTGAATAACATCTCAAAAGACAGTGTACAGTAGCAGCCCATTTACTCAAAAATGTTTGTAGATATGACTTTAGAAGCTTTAAAAGGCTGTGAGCCAAACAGATGCTGTCAGACAATGTAAACACCAGAGACATTTTGTGCTACATTTCTTATTGCATCATGGTCCAGTGGGCACATATCGCCGGCATAAGTACACATAGCCTGCAACGAGTGTATTTATCATCTGTTCCTCCTTAACGCTTCAGTTAGCTTTGCCCTGCACTACACTTCTTTCTTGTAACGCACAGCGAACTGTCACCATACACTATATCTGCTGTAGGCCAGAGCAAATAGAGCAGAGAAGATGCTGTACACATATATCAATAATGAAATATTAACATTCATAGCGTTCATGAACATCGGTTTACATAAGGTAGAAGGATTGGCTTCAATTTATGGAGTTGTTATGTTACTGTTATAGTCGACTGCTGAGAGAAGATGAGCTAAAGAGGCTGGGAGCACACTGCACTATCTGAGCCTACTACAGGTATCTCAACAGGTGCCATTTTCAGTTTCTATGATGACAGGGAATACATAGTTGTAATAATACTAAAATGAATGAAATGAAAATCTGTATTGTTAAAGGTCCCATATTACACTCTTTTCTGATCTCTGTTATAATGTTGTTTTCTCATCACCAACATAGCTGGAGTTATGTTTTGTTTCTACTCAATTAAATGTAAAAGGTAGCTGTTAACTTGAAAAATACCACTATGTGACATCACAAGGTGGAACAGAGCATTTTGAGCTTTGGAGATGTAGACAGACGAACAATAAAGGATTACTCAAACATGTATGAATGGAACAAAATGCAACTCCAGGTATGTTTTTGATGAGGCAACAGCATTATAACATGGCTTAAAGCTCACAAGAGAAAATTTTGTGTAATATGGGACCTTTACTATGAATACAATGCCCATACTCAGCCTCTGTCCTGCACTGAGCAAATGACAGGTGGTTTTAGCCAATCACATAAAAATTTAGACAATATAAAGCTTCTTAATAATATGTGATCCAGGTTTGAGAAAATTGTGCTGTACTATTGCTCATCCCTATTTACAATCCAGATTATGGGGTTAGCTACTTGCATATTCATTTTTTGTATGTTGAGTTTGGGACTAACTACAAAAATAACTACCCCGCCTTACGCAAGACTCCAGACATGCACAGAGAGCCCGCATGAGCCGAGACCTAAACACAAACTCTATAAATACCACAGCCTCACATCTGTCACACGTCAACATCCGCCCACATTCACCAATTCAGCAATGCAGCGCTGTCATGCTCCCGTTCACAAATCAGACCCTCCAAACCCCTTCAGCCCTGGTGCAATTAAACACAGCACACTAGAGTAACTACACCTTTCATCTAGGTAGGACAAATCACGCCTTAGCAACTGTTACTAGGCTCAAGAGGTCTCTGAAGATGTGGTCTTGTAGTATGTAGATGTGTGACTGCTGTAGTGGGCATCAAGAAGGAATGAGGAGCAAACATCTGTAGTAGAAGCACAAGGTAATTACAGTTGGGTTTATCTACATACACAGGCAGTGATCATGTGACAACAATTAGCAGAACAAGATAATCCTTAATCCAGAAAAAATGAAAGACAAATAAAGCCTAACTATATCACAACAATGCCCAGTAATTGATATGCAAAACTACAAAGCTATAACTGAATACCCTCATCAGTAGGGCTGAATGATTTTTTTCTTAGTATTATCACAGTTAGGTCTATCACAGTTTTTGTCTGATAATTTTTTTCTGACAAAATCTGATAATTATGGCTTTCTGTGTAAATTTCATAAACATGACAGACTTTTAAGATCATATAATGAAATTTAACACAGAAATACAGTTCAATTTTGTCCTCTCTGAAGTCTGCGCTCTGCTCCTATTGAGATTCTAAATGTAAATGGTAAGAGAAAACAAATATAACAAGGGTAAAACAAAGCTCTAAAAAGTTGATACTGCATAAAGGGTCTGCTTTAAATCTGTTTTTTAAGAGTATGATAAAAAGATGCCAGAACCATTTATTATTCCTGTAGAGAATGCTCATGTTCTGTAAATGCTATGCCTATCTATTAGCTGGCTTTCAAAAAACAGGTTGTTGGGCTCTGTGTGCTCTTGGGAATCAATTACTAGAAGCAGTTTACTCCAATACAAACAGGAAGTTTCCGTCCTCTTCATTCTTTCCAATCTACTTCCCAGTCAATCATTCCTCCACATATTGTCACCAGCTTCACTCAAGGTAAGTGAAGGTTGGAAATAGCTGGGAATCCAATACAAGAGAACATCAACAAAACCAAATGCACCTGTAGAAATAAACTAACAGCCTTTTGTTTAATGAGTGATAGAGAAACAAATTATCCAGATAGACGTACAAAATGAATTCATTAATTAACAAAATACTTACAATATCTTACTATGTACAAACCCATTTAACCTACAGTTTCAACCTCTATAAGGGTGCTTAAAAATTACAAAAATATTATCACAGTTATTTGATGCATAATTGAAATCACAATTATCTCAAACTATTTCTATACAGTCTATACTTCTATAGTTTAAAGGACAGAACAAGTGCATATGTTATTCTGAATCTATATATATCTGGTAATTAATTGTATTTTGGATAACAACATTTTTGAAACTGAATAGAGTAATAATTAATATCACAGCCTCCTCCCCCCTCACTCTTTTCTTTAGTCCTCCAGGTACTGCCCAGTGTAGGAGTTCTATGTG